CAGCTTTTTTTGATCAAAATCTGCATTTTCACAGTTCTTTGCAGATTTTTGTTAATTTGATCAAAAAAAACTGTGACAATCTGCATATTTGCAGATCGTCACAGATCTATTATCTCCTGAATTTCCTGATGATTGCTTTGCAATAAATTTTTAGCACTTATTATGAAATAATGACACTTCGTGTCTGTGCTTGCTCTGCTAATTATATTTTTTATTATACTCTTTATTAAAAGAATACTTTAAGAATGCTACTGCTTCACTTTACTTTGCAGTATTAAAAAAGTTAATTGTTGACTAAATAGATAACTAATGCTCTGCTACGCTTCGCATTCAGAGTCGCTATGCTCCTACAGGACAGAAAATGTTTTAGTAATCAAATAAGATAACTATGCTCCGTTACGCTTTGCATTCAGAGTTACTATGCTCCTCCGGATCAGAAAGCTAAATAGTAATCAAAATAGTTAACAAAAAAAATACACCAAATGTGAATAAATCATCATTAATTTGACGTCGCAATCGAGTTTTTATCATCAAATAGAGAGGATGTGCTCATAATAACAGAAAGCTAAATAGTGATCAAATAGAATATCAAAAAATACACCATTCATATTTCGCATTCCCCTAAAGATTTATACTCACAGTGATAGAATGCTAATTAGCAATCAAATAAGATAACTATGCTCTGCTACACTTCGCAACTGCATCACTCACACCTAAGGTGTATGCTTCTTAGTGTTAGAAAGCTAATTGTGAACTAATCAGATAACTAATGCTCTGCTACGCTTTGCATTCAGAGTCGCTATGCTCCTCCAGGTCAAAAAGCTAAATAATAATCAAAATAAATATCAAAAAATATACTACAAGATGTCATATATAAAAAAACACACTGCATATAGATTTATATAAGTTTATCAAGAACATAGTAAAAAGACTGAAATCTATATAAAAATGGAAGTGTTTTAAAAATTACACCAGTCATGTACCTAAAAAGCCCACTATTATATTACTTAAGTGTATTGAACAATGTATTATTAGCAATACAAAGTCAAAGGTAAGTTTATAAGCAATGTATTATTAGCAATACAATCTCAAAGACAGATTTATGAATTATAATAATAATTTCTTTATTTAATATAATGTTCAATAGACTTCGTCACAACATGTTTAGAGAGTCTAGAATAAAGATGATAACTTTTATAGCACTCCTAGCAATACTGTTTAAGCTACTATAATATATATTGATTCAAGATTTGTATAAATTCTTATAAAGCTATTATACAAGAAACAAGAATACTTTGTCAAAAGAGTGTAGAGAGGAGTTTGCATTTGACTATCTACTCTACATAAAGTGCAAATTACTTTTCTTTGAATGATCAAAACTACGTAATAACTAATTAAACGTGATAATTGGGAATTATTATCTAAAAGAACTTGTTCATGTCTAATTTTAATAACTACAATACATGTTGCTTTTATACAAATCCAAGATATAATTTCTAGACTATACAAATTCATATTCACTATATCACTTAAATTCTATTGGTTTAATATTCGTTCACTCGTTCATTTAATTATTCATTTGTTCACTTGTTTGCTTGCTTGTTTGCTCACTTCACGTGATTTGATCTTTATCCAATAAGATATGAGATATGTATAATCCAATAACATGTAATATTATGACGAAAAATCATTATACAAAAATATTTTTATTATTTTATATCACTAGCAACATATAATCTGATATTTTTTTTCATTATGACTAAATAATTGCATGTTCTGAATCTGTACTAGATTTTGTTAATTTTGAAAAATTGGTTTTAAGATTAGGATTAGAGATACAAAAATTGCGCATTCTGATTGGCTACTGGTCTATGACCGACAAAACCGGTACAGATTCAATAATTTTTAAAATTCTAGCCATGACAAAAAAAGTTACGGGTCATGTGATCTGAAATAGGTCCATTAAAATATCCGATTAATATTAGATACAAAGTATTAGGTTTAGGTTAGAGCTAAATTAAAGTTATATATAAAATTGTCTTCTCGACATTTTTTACATCTGTTTTTTGTATTTTTTTTTGCCATATCTATAATTTTTTAATGTCAGCGATGATGACCAAGGTCAATGTGTTACCCAAAAATTCAAAATCTAACCCATGAAACTATAATTTTACTACAAGTATATTTTTTGTTTGCCAAATAACCTTGACCTAAACCCAGACCTACCCCTTTTCGCATCGTCGGCACTAACTCCAATACCGCATCTTTTATTCCTTTATTGCGCCAAACAACTTGGGTATAAATCATTTATCCTGTCAAATTTAATAGTGTGTTTTAATGTACGCGTTTGCAGAATTTAAAGAACCATTGCCAACCTTCTGAAAAATGAGGGTTCGCTGTCCTTCAGTTTTTCTGAAGTGAGTGGCTCTCGTCTGCATAACGTGTATCTATTACTCTATTTATGTGAGGTAACATTTACTTACTATTACAGATTTACCACCTTACAAAAAACGAATATGTTGCTGAAAGCCAGAATTATCGGTTCTTATAGCAGGAACAATTGAAAGTATAAAACGAAGAACTGGAATCGCGGTTGCGGGAAGCTATCCCATTACCCTTCGAACATATCTTGAAGAGATAAACGAATGGATGGGGACACGTACATTTTGATACACACTATGATGCATCAAAATTTTTCAATGAAATGAAAGATAAAACCTTGATAGGACTTTTCCGAGTTTAAAATGTGTTCATTTCCTCTATTCAATATAATAGATCAACGGACAGTACTCTAAGACTCTGGGATACCAATACAAATTTGTGTGCAAGAACCTTCACTGGACACATAAATGAAAAAAATTTCGTTGGTCTTACTACGACCTCCGATTGGATTGCGTGTGGAAGTGAGGATAATTTGATTTTTGCATATTACAAAAATTTGTGCCAGCCAGTTGTCCGATTACCATATGACTGTAGACTCAGATGTTCTGGTGCAACGCATCTCAATTCCAGGAAAACAGTTGACTATATTATCGTATGTTTTCTTTCGGATAAACTTATTATATTATGTACACTTTGACGTTCTATCTATCTCTGTTTTTTAGGAGTTAAAGACACCTAAACCAATACCTCCTCTATCTACGATCATTCCTTCTGATTTGTCATCTATTCTTTCTTCACAAACTGATAAAGATAAATTTGAGCCCATAAAACAGTCTTCGCCAAACAAGTCCCAATATGCGTTATATGACAACAATGAAGGGTTTGTATTAGTTAATATCTTGTATCGTTTGATATTGCGCACAACTAAATCTCTTTGCAATAGAGTTTACATAGTTAAAATGCACACCTGGAATTCAACAAAAACACCAAGTACAAATTGATCTTGCTGATGATGATCGAACTATTACTATCACTGCGGAGAATTTGGTGATCGAAGAAAACGGCTCGGAGATTGAAAATAATCTCTCCACGTGGATATTATTCTACCGAGTTATAACATTAATTTGGCACTTTTTGGTTATCGAATCAAGTTATTTAACACTCATGCTTTCTAATATAGGATGCATGCAGATCATCCAGTTAACGTCAATGTTGAGCATGGCATTACAACTGCAAAGTTTAAAATTAAGGCTAATAAAAGAAAAGTTATCATATAATTTTTTTCTGAATTTTCGGAGCTTTGGATCTAGTAAAATTTTATCTGGGGATACAACTAAGGCTAGCTTTTTGACTTTCTGACGCTGATTTATCTTCTTTTATCTTTATCTAGTTATTAAATAAACACGTAATTTGATCGATTTCTAAATCATAACACTTCTCCAATACCGCATCTTTTATTCCTTTATTACGCCAAACAACTTGGGTATAAAACATTTATCCTGTTAAATTTACTCTCTTTATTAAGGGCTTTCTAACCCACTTGATTATTTATTTATCTAGTATCTAATTATGGATGACAACAGAACAGGAAACGGTACGATTTAATACAGAATTTAAAGAACCATTACCAACCTTCTGAAAATGAGGGTCCGTGTATCTCAATCGCCTAACTTCTGAAAATGAGGGATATCTGGGCGTGCAGTACCAATTACCAACCTTCTGAAAAATGAGGGTCCGCCGTCCGATACATGGCGTGTAGTGCATATTGCCAACCTTCTGAAAATGAGGGTCCGTGTATCAATCGCCTAACTTCTGAAAATGAGGGATATCTGGGCGTGCAGTACCAATTACCAACCTTCTGAAAAATGAGGGTC